CAGGAGACGATTCCGAATCTGTATGAATCGTTAAAATCAGACCAGCGTCTATTATGCATATTTGTCAAAGCATAATTATTCACAGATATGACTGATATAAGTGTTCACGTACTGGTCGATTAAAAGTGTTTTAAAATACCTATACCCATATTTAAGCCGTGGGCTTCAAAGGTGTGGATGTACTATACAAATCTATTAAAAAGTATATATCAATCTTATCCCCACGTAAGGGATCAAATTAATTTTTAGTATGATAAAAATCGTTGCAAAATTCTCCAGTCAAATGAGCAGTAATTTGGAATTTACTGTATTTTGTACAACTCATGATTGATGGCTGAATGATTTAAGAATAGCCAAAGTTAAATATTTTTTTAAAACCATTAACACCTTAGATTGTGCATTAGAGTCATCATAAGTCCCCCTAACCATGTTGGTCTGTTTGTCCGCCAAAAGGTGGACATGAGGAGTTACTATTACATGGAGAAAATTCTAAAATTTGTAAATATGTTGAAATTTTTGTGTAAGATTTCACTCCCCCAATACACATTTTTAGCCAAATCCTTTAAAATATGGTAAAATCAGGAGATACCTTTATATGGGCACTACTCCGAAACATCGACTTACATTGAAAACTTTCTTCTACCCCTTATAATCCAAGATGACAAATAGAGGTCAAATCAAAAATAAAGCAGAAAAACATAGCATGTCAAACTGAAAAAAAATCGCGTGATTTAAATGACTAAAAATAGTTTTATCCACATCATAATGATTTCAGAATAGTCAAATATTTTTACTATTTTACACCCATTACCGTAAGATGGGAATTAATTTTATTTGCCATTTAAATTGTAAGTTGGAGACCCCATAAAGTCCATATTTTTCATCATAGTATAATTCAATGACGATTCAACACATACTCGGTCCCGTGCTACTTTCTTATATTTGTGATTTTTTCATGTTTCCACAATTTATTTCACATAGATGTACATCCCGAATCTACGTTCCCAACCAATATTCTCTTGGGGGTTACAAATTCAAAATAATACAAAATTTTCTTTTCTGACCACACATTAGATGTGAAAGTGGACTCGGGGATACTCCAATGTGGGAACTTTACTTAAATAAATTCCTATGTGGCAATTATCTGTATGATGGTTCCCTACCCCAGGGTAGCATAAACACAATTTTTTAGCCAAATCAATTGATGAATGTGGTCAAGAACAATGTGGGCCCTACTCTGAAAATTTCAAATTTTATGCGAATAGGTTCTCTACCTCCTTAGAAACAAAGATGCCAAATAAGGGCAAAAAATTAAAACTGTGACCAAGACCCCAAAAATAGCTTAAATCATGCGATGGTTATATAAATATGAAATCGGGTTGTACTCTTATCTGTGAGTTATGATCGATATCATGACCTGCAAAAGCGATTTAAGGTATCTTGAATGTTTGGGAAGAATTTCTGGAAGGATAGAAATCCTTTTCTTACAAAAGTCCAATTCGCTCTATTTTGCACCCTCTATATTTGGTATTTTTACTGATTTTACTCCCAAAGAATTTTCCATTTTGAGCTCTCATTGGACGGATTATTTGTTTTTTAAAATGTGTTCGCATCTTCCAGCTGAACCACGATGTAGGCCCTGGAGTTGAAAGGTAGATGTCAGTTAACATCGTATTTCGCAATTATTTTATTTTTTTGGTGAAAAATTATATATGGTAAAAAAAAATTTTTTTTGTTTACAAAAAATCCACTGAATTCAATATGATAATACAAATTGAAAAAAAATGACAAAAAAGAATAACAAATTAAAAATATATTCAACTTGTTCGATGATTTTTTACAGCAAATTTCGATATCATCTATTCCGTTTCGCCAGCAGAAATCAAGTCAGTTAAATAAATTGGTATTAATATTCGAATTCATAAAATATAAAAAACACTGCAAATGTACATTAGAAAAAAAGTAAGTCAAATTAAAAAAAAATCATCCAAAATAAAACATTACTATTGTACATTTCAAAGGTCAAAATGAAAATGGTAATATATCAAATTTTTACTCGTTTTTTTTTTGTATATATATATATATATATATATATATATATATATATATATATATATATATATATATATATATATACTTATTTCGAAGCATACAATTACTTGCTTGCAAGCATATACATATACATGCATCTAAGCATATATTTACTTGTAGTACCCAAACATAATATATGTTTGAGACTGTAGCAAACATATATATGTTTGCTGCAAAATATGTTTGGAGACTTGGAGAGGCAATTTTTTCTCTCCGTGTATTAAACAAATATTCGAATTTGTCTGATTCGTTAAAATCAGATCTGCGGTTCTTGAGTTATACGCGTAGTAACTAACACAACTTTCTTTTACATATATAGATTAAATTACATCAAATTTGAAAGAAATTGGATCTGTTGAAAATAAGCGCCCAGGGTAGTGGTGTCATGGTCGGCCCCGACCAACTAGAACTTTTGTTTACTGTCTTTTATTTACCGCTCTTCTTATACCATTCACCATACAATGGACACTTTATTAAGTTTGTTATTCCGTTTGCAACACTTCGAAATATTCGTCGGAGTCCCCAAAAATTATATATATTTCTGATCAGAATAAAATTATAAGACGATTTAGCTATGTCCGTCCGTCTGTCTGTTGAATTCACGATAGAGTCCACATTATTTAATCTAGAGCTTTGAAATTTGGCACGTTATATATTATATGTAGGCTAATTGGTATTGAAAATGGGCTATATTTGTCCATGTTAAGTATACAGGGTGAGATAAAAAACTGCAACAAAGTCAAACGCCATAATTTTTAATTTTTTTTTAAATTTTATTGGATGAAAGCAAAATAAGTCGGAAATAGCATCAAATTGTAAATTTGTTCGAATTGGTCATCTTCGACACGAATTATGACCTTCAAACGACCAATGAAACCTTCACACGCTGCCCGAATGTTGCTCGGCGGTATTTTGGCCCATTCCCGGTGAAGCGCTTGCTTGAGGTGATCGACACTTTGGTATTTTTAGGGCCAATCTTGCTTTCCAAAATATTCCAGACACAATAGTCCAACCGATCGGTATCCGGAGATTTTGGTGGCCATTGTGCGCTGGAAATGAAGCGAGGAACCTCTTTTTGTAACCATTTTTCGGTTGCGCGTGCTGAGTGCGATGATGCTTAGTCCTGTTGAAATGTCCAAGGTCTGCGCCCAAAATATTTGCGTGCCCAAGGCTTTAATACACCCTCCAGAATATTTTCGCGATAATATTCAGCATTTTTTCTCATGCCACGATCGATAAATACGAGCGGAGAGCGACCAACGGCTATTATGGCGGCCCACATCATCACCATAGCCGGCGCATGAGTCCTGGTGGCCAACTGAAGGTTTACATTTTCAGCTGACCTCTTGGGCAAGTTTGTTTGTTTACATACTGCTGAAACAACGAATGTTTTCTCATCGGAGAAAACCAAATTCGGCAGTTCACCACTATCGGCTAAGCGAAGCAACTCTTTAGCTCTTTTGAGTCTATTTTCTTTTTCAACGGCTTTACGCCGAGCTCATTTTTCATTATTTGCCGAATAGAATATTGCGATGTGTTCAGCTCACGAGCCATTTTTGGCCACTGGGAAGCGGAAGCCGCGCTTCTTTACATTTCGAACCAATTCTGCTGATGTTGCTGTTTTTTTCCGTCCACTTCCTTGACGTCGGGCTTCGTTACCAGTATCACGGTAACGTGCGATGGTACGAGACACAAAAGATTTGTTCACATTTAAATGCTGGAGTACTCTAACGATACCCACTTGTAGTTTTCCAGCCAAATATAAAGAAATCACACGATCACGCTTAAATTCCATCACGAATAATATTTTTTCTGGCAAATTCTCACCAAAATGCTTTTGTACGTTTGTAAAAAATATAATGAGCTGTCACTGGAATAATGTTAACAGCTGTCGGACGAGTGGGTTAAAAAGGGCATCAGTCTGTAGTTGGTTGCAGTTTTTTCATCTCATTCTGTAATCCCTATATAATGGTACCTCTTGGTTTTCGGTATTTTGAATGTTTCTACCAGAATTTCCCACCAAATCAACTAAGGTTGTCTTTCCTTGCAAAAAATATTCACTACGAGTTTATTAATTGGTGTAGCCCCCATCTAACGGTTCGTCCCGATAATCGGTATTTTGAAGGTTTCTGCCAAAATTGCCAACCAAATTAACAAAAACTTAACAATTATATGTAGGCTGATAGGTATGTAAAATGGGCTATATTCGTCCATGTTTAGGTATAGGCCCCATATAACGATACCTCCAAATTGTCGGTATTTTTTGAGGTTTCTGTCACAATTTCCAACCAAATCTGCTGAAACTTTACGTTTGTGGTTCTTGAAAGGTCTGTTTTTTGAAAGATGTTCGATTCAGGTCCACTAATTGGTATAGTCCTTCACATAACTGTACCATGCTATGGAGGGTATATTACGTTTGTCATTGCGTTTGTAACTCCTCGAAATACTAATGTCTGATCCTACAAAGTATATATTCTGGAAATTTGCTAATGATTTCTTAAAACCCTGATGGGCTGTTGATTCTCCAATTTTTGATACAAACCAATTATGACTGGCTGTTACTATTTCAGATTCTGAAGGCATCACATTTTTAATTTTTATTCCGAATACCTGCAACAAATATAGTTGCATAATGTGCAGAAACGAGTTTTGAATAATTATAGACTGAGAAAATTAATTGAAAACCTTAAAAGCTTAAGCTCCCATCATGACAATCCTTTTAGCACCAGCATTTAAAAATGTTTAAGTTTTAATAATTTTTCAAAAAGGAAATAATTTTTAAATTATAACTATGCCAAATTCTCACTTCTCTGCTTGCCATCCATTGCCTTTCTTGCCAAACTAACAAAGTTTATGGCAAAATATAATAACGAATAATTTTAAAATTGGTAATTTCTCTTTTCTTTCAGGAGTTACGGTGACACGTTTAGCTATGATGAATCATTGCAGAGCTTTAACTATGGCCTGCCGGTATACAGAAGGAGAAACAATGGTGTGCGTTTTAGATTTCAAACGTGAAGTAGGACTCTGGCATGCCGTTCTCACTTCAGTGCTTAATGGAATGCACGTACTGTTTATACCCTATGCTCTTATGAAGTTAAGACCATCATCATGGATGCAATTGATTACAAAGCATAGGGCTTCATGTTGTCTAGTCAAGAGTCGCGATTTACATTGGGGCCTTCTTGCAACGAAAGATCACAAAGATATTAGCCTTTCCTCTCTTAGAATGCTTCTTGTTGCCGATGGAGCAAACCCATGGTCGTTGTCATCATGTGATCAATTTTTAAGTGTATTTCAGCCCAAGGGATTACGAGCGGATGCCATTTGCCCATGTGCCAGTAGCTCTGAAGTTTTTACGGTTTCCCTTCGTCGTCCGGGACGTTCTACCGTCGGATTCAGTCAATCGGCCACTGGAAGAGGTGTATTATCAATGGCAGCACTATCTCATGGTGTAGTTCGTGTAGATAGTGAGGATTCTTTGACATCACTAACTCTACAAGATTGCGGCCAAGTTATGCCTACAGCGACAATCGTGGTAGTGAGATCAGATGGACATCCAGTTTTATGTAAAACAGATCAAGTTGGTGAAATATGCGTAACAAGCGGCGCAACTGGTTCTACATACTATGAATTAGAGGGTTTAACAAATACAACTTTCAAAGTCCAGCCTCTTTTGGAGGATCCGGAATGTGACAAGGATGGCCAAACTATCAAATCAAAACCTATTAGTGAAGATTTTTTTGTGCGATCCGGTCTCTTAGGGTTTTTAGGACCAGGGGGTTTGGTTTTTGTTTGTGGATCACGGGATGGTTTGATGACCGTTACGGGTCGTAAGCATAATGCGGACGATATAATAGCAACCGTATTGGCGGTGGAACCAATGCGTTTCATATATAGGGGCCGCATTGCAGTCTTCAGCATTAAAGTTTTACGAGATGAACGTGTATGTGTCATTGCCGAACAACGTCCTGATTGCTCCGAAGAAGAAAGTTTCCAATGGATGTCCAGAGTACTACAAGCAGTTGACTCAATTCATCAAGTTGGAATATATTGTTTGGCGCTTGTTCCACCTAACCATTTACCTAAAACACCTCTAGGAGGAATAAATCTTTGTGAAGCACGTCGAAGATTTTTGGATGGAACCCTTCATCCGGCTAATGTTCTAATGTGTCCTCATACTTGTGTAACAAATTTACCAAAGCCACGGGAAATCCACCAGGGTGAGTTAACTCAAAGTATTCTAATTCTTCCATTGATCACGGTTTATTAAATTGCAAAATTTTACGATTATCCTTCTTTTCTAATTTATATAGTCATATACACCCGATTTAAACACAACCACAGTATACAATAAAGCAAATTGTTTGTTCTTATATTATGTTCTCATATTACTAATTAAAATAGTGCCTGTGGTAGAAAGGTGTATATAATCCAGGTTACCAACCTTCAAACACAACGATAGTAAAGGTCGGCTCTTGAGAACAATGAATAGGAATTTATTATGATTTTAATATTATATAATTGTTCTATATAGAATTTCATTCTGAATAGAAATATGCTTGTCCGTCTGTTTTTACTTCTTTTTTTGTGAGAAAAGTAGACTTGCAATTATTATGCAATCAAATGGGCTATAACTATATAACACTTAAAAATACAAAAATGTCGATTTTCCTGAAAAATATTATTTTGCAGCTTTGTTTTTCTGACCCAATACAAACAACTCCATTAAAAATTTGTCCAACAACAACGGTTGCAATAATATTAAATATTAATAAAACCCTGTCTTAAGGTTTTCTACGCTTAATGATAACATAATCAGAAAATATGGAAATCGGAGTAATCCTTTCAACGAAACTGTTTCAAAACGTAGACCGACATGGCCCATTTTCTGTACCAATGATTCTGAGTGTAGTCTAAAGATCTATATCAAATTTTAAAGCTCTATCCTAAATATTGCGAAATATATCTAAACTATAGGGGATCCCTTTGTATGTGGTAAAAATTATATAAGAGCCTTAACAACATTTGACTTAAAATCCCAAACCTCCTTCGGAGTTTTGATCTACAGGGTGAGATAAAAAAAAACTGCAACAAAGTCAAACGCCATAATTTTTTTACATTTTTTTTATGGAATGAAAGCAAAATAAGTCGGAAATAGCATCAAATTTTAGAATAAGTTTAGATTTTTTCGAATTGGTCACCTTTGGCACCAATTATGACTTTCAAACGGCCATAAACGGTATTTTGGCCCATTCCCGACGAAGCGCTTGCTTGAGGTGATCGACACTTTGGTATTTTTCAGTGCCAACTTTGCTTTCAAAAATACTCCAGACGCAATAGTCCAACGGATTGGTATCCGGAGATTTTGGTGGCCATTGTGCGCTGAAAATGAAGCGAGGAACATCATTTTTTACCCATTCTAGGGTAGCGCGTGCTGAGTCCTGTTGGAATGTCCAAGGTCTGCGGCCAAAATGTTTGCGTGCCCAAAGCTTTCATAGACCCTCCAGAATATTTTCGCGATAATATTCGGCATTTATTCTGATGCCACGGTCGATTAATACGATCGGAGAGCGACCATCGGCTGTTATGGTGGCCCACACCATCACAATGGCCGGAATTTCAATGGCTTTACCCCGAGCTCATTTTTCAATATTTGCCGAATGGAATATTGCGATATGTTCAGCCCACGAGCCATTTTTCGTCTACTGCGGCGCGTGTTTCGATGAAGTCGCTTCTTTACCTTTCGAACGATTTCTGCTGATGTTGCTGTTTTCTTCCGTTCACTTCCTTGACGTCGGGCTACGCTACCAGTATCACGGTAACGAGCGATAGTACGAGACACACAAGATTTATTCACATTTAAATGCTGGAATGCTCTAACGATAGCCATTTGTGGTTTTCCAGCCAAATATAAAGAAATCACACTATCACGCTTGAATTTCATCACGAATAATTTTTTTTTCGGGAAATTTCTCACCAAAATGCTTTTGTACGCTTGTAAACAATATAAAGAGCCGTCACTGGAATAATTTTAACAGTTGTCGGACGAGTGGCTAGAAATGACATCAGTCTGAAGTTGGTTGCAGTTTTTCCATCTCACCCTGTACAGAAAATTGGGAACAAGTTTAAACTTTTCAGAAATAAACAAGCTTTTTACCCCGGACCATGGTTCTGTACGGTTTGCCAAAACATCATCCATCACAATTCAATCTCGGTGCGATGTAATGGATGCGGAGACTATAGCGATATAGTTGCGAGACTATAGCGATAGGGACTATGTTGCATCGTGCTGTACCAACATAGTTTTCAGTGAGTCCACGACCTCGTCGTCAACTTCCGAGTCGTCGTCGGAGTATGGGACCCCCTCAGTCTCCAGAACAGAAACCTTCACCGCAGCACAACGCTGTTGCTGTTCAAATTACAGCGGTGCAGGAAACCAAGCTCAATGAAAATTGTAGCTTACAACGTTGCAATGGTTACATCGTATGCTTGATAATCGTTCCTTTTACACTATTCTTTTCAATACAGACCTATCTCGCTGGAGCCAGTCTCTAGTGTGGGGGTAGCAGTCAAGTGTGGAACTGTCGAGGTAGAGGTGCTTAATGTGTATATCCCGCCGGTTAATATCTGTGAACCGCGTTACTTGCCTAATATAAGCCCACTTATGGAAGGCAATAACCTCCTGATACTAGGAGATTTCAATGCCCACCATGAATTGTGGCATTCCGTCCTAGGTAATGACCAGAGGGGATCAGCGTTGGCCACGTTTTGCACCGTAAATGAGGATGCACCACCCCCAATAAGAGGAGAGTGTCACAGTTCGCCAGATTTAACCATTGTGTCAACCGGTCTGATAAATGACGTGACTTGGCAACCCGTCATATCTCTTGGCCCAGTCCGTCTCCCGATAATCGTCTCCATTAGGAGATCGTCTGATTTTATAACTTCTAAACGCCGCACTTTCCTTAACCATGGGAAAGCCCACTGGCCTGAGTTCAGAGAGTTCACCAAACTTCGCTTCAGAGAACTGGCCAACCATTCTGATGTCTGGAAAGGATTTTTTTGCGAATGTTATTAGAAACGCTAAGTCATCTAAAGCATTGGGCCCGGGCGGAATATCAATGGTAATGTTGAAGTAATTGGATATGTAACTAAAGTCCTTAACTTGTCGTTAGCTACCCACATAGTTCACAACTGGATATCTAACTAAAGTCCTTAACTTGTCGTTAGCCACCCAGATAGTTCATAGTCCCGAAGCCTGGAAAATGGGCAGGGTGGTCCCGCTACTGAAGCCAGACAAGGATGCAAAGGATGCCAGCAAAGACGAATCATACAGGCCAATTTCGCTTTTGTCGCAAGTAGCAAAGACTCTCGAGGCTTTACCCCTCCCCAGTATCAGAGGAAGCTATTCAATTGCTAACCATCAACACGGTTTTCGTCCACTACATAGTATCAGAGGAAGCTAACCAACAACAGCATTGCACATCATATCCACACATATCAGTTGAGGACTCAACCAGAACAGGCCGGGCCATAGAACAGTAGTGGTGACTCCTGATCTATCAGAGGCCTTTGATACGGTCAACCATGCCACGCTGTTCGAGAGCGTTGAGAATACGACCCTCCGGCCAAGTTTGAAACGTTGGATAGTCAACTATATGTGTGGACGCCAGTCGTACGTGGAATTCCGGAACAAGAAGTCCAAGCCCCGTTGAGTGAAACAGGTGGGGTTTTTCGGAGATATCTGTTTAGCTTCTACCTTTCCGGAATTCCGCCCACACCAGACGGCATCGGGATTGTAACATATGGGAATGACTGTACGATCATGGCTTCGGGTCCTGTAGTTGATGACATATGTGTCAGGGTGAACAGCTCTCTCGCGGAGCTTTCCGACTTCTTCCACGCGAGGAATATGAAAATATCCGCTAAGTCAACGGCCACACTATTTACCACATGGACTGCGGAGATGAGAACACAGCTGAATGTGCACGTCGGGGTGCACATAATTCCGACCACTAACTATCCCAAAATCCTTGGGGTCACATTCGATAGCATGTTCAAGTCTTCCGCGCAAGCCACAGCTATCTGCATTAAACTGAAAAGTAGGAACAAGGTCTTCAAGGCGCTAGCCGGACCGCCCTTGGGGTGCGGATAAGGAAATCTTGTTGACCTATTATAAAGCGATAGATCGGTCTGTGGTTAGCTATGCGGCTCTAGAGTGGTCCGCGAATACAAGCGCAACGCAGTGGAAAAGTTTTCAGATCTGCTAGAATGTCGAACTGAGAACTGCAACAGGGTGTCTCCATATGACCCCTGTGGACCATTTTTTAGTCAGCATAATCATATGCTTTCGTTTCAGTACCTGCTTGAGGGTCATCCTCACCACCATATGGTGGACAGATCTCCCCCACCCAGGCGTGTCAGGAAGGACCTGCATAATCTAGAGAGTGGGTGAAATATAGCGTGCGATACAGGTCAGCGTGCGATACAAACCTACCCAACACCGTCCAGAGGATCTTTTGCAACAGCCCATAAAGTTAGCAGAATTTCTAAACCGGATTAATCAGTCAATAAACAACGGAGCATGTTATCACTGCTACAACAACAACAACATAAATCTTCTGTTGAAGTTTAAAAAATAATAGAGAACGGATACGGGAAATTTGCAATTGCCCCTACATTTTTTTTTGATTAGTTGTTAGACCCTTTGATAATACTATGAAACTCAAATAGAAACATTTTCAATTTTAGAGTTTTACCTTGTTAAGGCAAATATTATATGTTTATAATTTATGTGTTTATTTCTCTTTCGAGACGAGCTTAATGATCGGAAAATGGAACTGAAAAATAAAGCCAGATAGACACTATCACACACTCAACACCATGCGACGGGTTTCGCCGTTGGTTAAGCGGCTTATCAGGCATATTTGGTGTGAATGATAGCTTACAAAGGCCGTCCTCTGGAAACTAGTATTTATTGCGATCTTATTGCGATTAAGCATATGTGAAGAAGAAAAATCTCAGAGAGTTTATTTATAAGTGACAAAAATCTCAAAGAGCTTTATGAATAATAATAATAAGGGTACTCAAATTTTGCATCTGTGATAACCGCTATTTTAGATACAAAAATAATTTTTACCAACAAAAGAAAGGCCTTCTCGTGGAATTCGAAGCCTCTCCGAGAGTAGTCAATATTGTGATGGAAGAGCTATTGGATATATGTATGGAAATCTGTGATAATAGATGCAAGTTTCTGACAAAATAAATTGACGGCCCTTTTGGAATAACTAAATCAATTGCAATAAATAATGACGGCATTCAATAGCTATGAACATCGCATAACGTTTACAATAGAAGAATAAATTAATGGCCGATTTCCATACGTACGGAAAACCAAATACGGACTAATTGGTACCAAAAACCTACGGCATTACAATATTATTGTTCCTTTCGATATAATAAATAAATAGATAAAAAACAACAAATAACTCGAGTTCAATTTTATTTTTTTATTTATTTATGTCTTTAGGTTAATTTTCTTATGGGCTTTTCAATGTCGTTGTATTTTAATATAAGATTTTGGCCATGTTGGCGTATTTATATTGAATTGTATGAAATAAGTGAAATGTGAAAATTTCTAGTTTATCAATGACATGCAACTAAAATATGTTCGCTTTCTCGAAAAAATCACAGATTACATAAAATATGTGTATTTTTTTCAAATTCTTGACGTAGAATAAGGTAGTGTTTTCAACGTATCATTATTGCTGTTATTTTTGGCAGAATATACTTATATGACACAGTATTTAACATCCACATTTATAAATCATTGCATGTTAAGACTTCAGTGTAATGGAACATTGATCATATGGATGAAGGCCGCGTACTGTTGATCAAACAGGGCATAACATGACGAGTTTTTCCCCCCATGGCGAAAATATCCAACACACCAACGTACCATCGCTCGTTACCGTGATTCTGCTAGCGTAGCCCGACTTCAAGGAAGTGGACGGAAGAAAACAGCAACATCAGCAGAAATGGTTGAAAAGTAAAGAAACGACTTGATCTAAACCCGCGTCGCAGTTGCCGAAAAATGGCTCCTGAGCTGAACATATCGCAATATGAAATGAGCTCGGGGTAAAGCCATTGAAATTCCAAAAAGTACACCGCAACAGAAAGAATGTAGACTCAAAAAAAGCAAAAGAGTTGCTTCGCTTGGCCGAAAGTAGTTAACTGCCGAATTTGGTTTTCTCCTCAGCACGCGCCACCCAAGAATGGTTAAAAAATGAGGTTCCTCGCTTCATTTTCAGCGCACAATGGCCACCAAAGAGTCGATCACCCCAAGCAAGCGCTTCGCCGGGAATGGACCAATTCGAACAAATCTAAACTTATTCTAAAATTTGATGCTGTTTCTCTTATCTAATTATTATTTCTCTAATCTAATAACTTGATCAAAAATGGCATGTCCACATTCTCTCTTTTGTAACGCCACTACTCGATTTTACTCAATGTAAATGTCGACGCTTTCCAATTGGTTGGGATATAATTTGTAATTCTTAAAAGACATATTCTTAGTAGACCTAGACCTATTGTTCGAGTTTTCAAAAACTCAGCCTGAATAAATAAGCGATAACACACAAAATTTGTAGTTTTTTCTAATGTTCTCAATATTCAATTTTTCCATTTAATTTTTCAACTTTTCTGGAATTTTTGTTAAAATTTTCTTTAGTAATAATCTTTAAACTACAATTACAAACAACCGAAGGAATATTTAAGTCAAATCGTTCCACCCGTTTTCAATTTATGAGTTATTCTTTTTTTTCACAAATGAAAACGGCCCTTGTAAGCCATCATCCCACACCAAATATGCCTGATGAGCCGCTTAACCAACGGCGAAACGCGTCGCATAGTGGTGAGTGTGTGATAGTGTCTATCTGGCTTTCCTTTTCACTGCAAATTTCAGATCATTAAGCTCGTCTCGAAAGAGAAAAACAAACACATAAAACATATGATCTTCGCCTTAACAAGGCAAAACTCGAAAATAAGTTATTTTAAGCAAAAATTAATTAAACAATTATAGTGCCAAACGCTGAAAATACGCTTTAGTCATTAAAACAAAACATTATAATTTTAAGCATTTTTTTCATCATTTCTAAATTGTCAATTTTCGTGTTAACAACAAAGACTTAATAAATTTGAATTGAAGAGAGACTTGAGAAAAACTTGTTCACCGTAAGTGTTTCCAAGCGTTCTTTAAAACGTTGTGAGACTAATTTTATAATATTGTTCTCAAACTATATTGTCCTTTCAAATAATTTGTGGTTTGTTGGGTAGAGAAATATGTCACATTTTCAGAACTTAGTATGTACGCAACCGAATGTATGTATGTACGCATTCTTGTGTAGTCTTCACCGGCTGTCCGACCAAGCAATGAATATGACCGTGACTATAATTGGAAATGCAGGTTTTGAAGGTTATTAGATTTGTACATTAGTTTATTAATAAATCACCCACAATAAAAATTTGCAAAATAATAACTATTTTAAATCTTTGATTTTACCGGTCTATAGAAAATTAAATTAACATAAACTTTTCTAAATTATTAATCTCGCACAATTCTAAAACATATAAAATTTACATAAATTATATATATATATATATATCCCTCCTACCACAGATGCACTATAGATGTGAAAAAATTGATACGTTAAAAGTTCTAGTTGAAATATATGTGAGAAATCGGTATACAAATAGCATTCAAAATAAGACACTAAACTTTATATTATATTGTTACACAATGGTTCACCTATTATTATACAATTACGAATTTTTAAACCTAACTACATACAAATGTCGCCTTACATGCTAATGTTTTTTTATTCACACTTACATATTTCATACAAATTCTACTACTCCATTATAACACCCAATCTGTAACATTATGTGCTTAATTGGTCGGAAATTTACATTCTAATACTAACATCCTAAAAGGTGTCCAATCTACTGCAAAACTAAGTTCATCTGGATGTGGTATTACAGACACTTCGGTCGGTCCAGCATCAGTGATGGTTGGCAATTTAGTTCAAGGAAACCGTCTTGCAATTGCCCAGGGACGTGATCTTGGTCTATCGGAGGACAACGAACGCAAGGTAATGGACAATATATTTTATTAATATTAACGATTTGAAACTTTATAAAAGGTGTATTAATTGCTTTTGAGCTGTATTTTGCAATACATAAAGTTAGTTAATAGGGAATAGACTATTAGTAATATAATTAATATATATCGGTAGTTTTAATTGGTTTTTGTTTTATTCTACATCGCTTTCAGGTTCAATTTGTTTTATTTAACGTAGACCGTAATATTTTAAATTACTTCTGAACTTCTAATAAACGATGCTAAACGATATATATATATATATATATATATATATATATATATATATATATATATATATATGTATATATATATATATATATATATATATATATATATATATATAAAAAAACCGTGAAAAATGTGAAATTCGAACATTCTTCTTTTTGAAATGTACAATTGTAATGGCTTATTTTACTTAATTTTGCCATTTAGACTTACCATTTTCGAACGTACATTTGCAGTGTGCAGGGCCACTACAATATGTTAGAAGCCCCCTTATGTCCAAATCCATTTTGGAAGATTTCGCTTTTTAAATTATGTGACGGAGCACTGCCCAAATATTGCCCTTAGCATTTTGACCAGGGGTTTTTGCCCAATATTTACGCTCTGCGTCGTGTTGTTAATTGTTGTGGTTCATTTTACAACTAAATATAATCCAATCGTAATCCAAAATGCTAGACTCCTTCCCTGTGCTTAACTCTCTTCACAGGCGTGTCGATTGACTTAAATTGTGTGATGAAGAAATTTTTTTCTGTTTTGAGTTCATTAGAACCGCGAAATATTTTGCGACCATCTCCAAAAGCAAGAGGCCCCTTCTGTATCTCCAAATTAAGACTCATATATTTGATTTGCTTGTCTACGATATTTCTCTATATTCGTCAATGAAATCAGCATAAAGGAGCCAGCAGTTCGCCTTTTGTGTATTTCGGATATCGTCTGTAAGTAATGCTGGTATTTTTTTCACACAAAAGTAGTGGTCCATTCTACCCGCTGTCTTAAACTCTAAATTCATGCGAGATTTCGTGTCCTTTGGTTTCTATTTTGACCTTTATAACGGCTGCAAAATCAGGAACATTTTTAGTTGTTGGTCCGTTCCAACCCTCTAAATATTTTTTATCACACGCGATAAAAAATATGAAAAAATAAAAAATGTCACAAAACCCTACAAAATCTATATAAACATAATTATTGGCATGTTTTATGCGATTTGACAAAAATTGACAAAATTTGTCAAAATCGGTTCAGCCATTCAAAATGTGCAAATTGATGCAAACTAATTTTTAAAAATATGATAGAACACTTCATTGCCTTTCACCACATGTGTAAATTATGTGACGGAGCACTGCCCAGATATTGCCCTTAGCATTTTGACCAGGGGTTTTTGCCCAATATTTACGCTCTGCGTCGTGTTGTTAATTGTTGTGGTTCATTTTACAACTAAATATAATCCAATCGTAATCCAAAATGCTAGACTCCTTCCCTGTGCTTAACTCTCTTCACAGGCGTGTCGATTGACTTAAATTGTGTGATGAGGAAATTTTTTTCTGTTTTGAGTTCATTAGAACCGCGAAATATTTTGCGACCATCTCCAAAAGCAAGAGGCCCCTTCTGTATCTCCAAATTAAGACTCATATATTTGATTTGCTTGTCTACGATATTTCTCTATATTCGTCAATGAAATCAGCATAAAGGAGCCAGCAGTTCGCCTTTTGTGTATTTCGGATATCGTCTGTAAGTAATGCTGGTATTTTTTTCACACAAAAGTAGTGGTCCATTCTACCCGCTGTCTTAAACTCTAAATTCATGCGAGATTTCGTGTCCTTTGGTTTCTATTTTGACCTTTATAACGGCTGCAAAATCAGGAACATTTTTAGTTGTTGGTCCGTTCCAACCCTCTAAATATTTTTTATCACACGCGATAAAAAATATGAAAAAATAAAAAATGTCACAAAACCCTACAAAATCTATATAAACATAATTATTGGCATGTTTTATGCGATTTGACAAAAATTGACAAAATTTGTCAAAATCGGTTCAGCCATTCAAAATGTGCAAATTGATGCAAACTAATTTTTAAAAATATGATAGAACACTTCATTGCCTTTCACCACATGCATATTGTTTCCAAAATACGCCCCAATACCGAAAGTTCTACTCAAAATGACGCACGGACGAAAACAAAAACTAGATTAAAATGTGTAATGTATCCACTCAATAGAAAATTTACATCGTTTAACAATACTTTTTATACCCTCCACCATTCCGAATATGGGGGGTAGCGTTATATGGGGGCTATATGTAGACGTGGACCTGCACAGACAATTTTCTGGCATGGGCTGAAGTATCCATTATAAACTTCACATGCGAAATTTTAAACAATCCCGGTAAATCAAAATACCGAATATCGGGGGGTACGGTATATGGGGGCTATATGAAGACGTGGACCTACATGACCCATTTTCTGTTTTATGCTGCAGTATCTATTACGAACTTTAAATACCAAATTTGGAACAATTCCGCTAAATAATGTCGCTAAAATCATCAAAATACCGAATATCGGGGGGTACCGTTATATATGGACTATATGAAGACGTGGACCTACATGGCTCATTTTTTGACTTAGGATGTAGTATCCATTACGAACTTCAAATACCAAATTTGAAACGATTCCGGTAAACAATGTCGCTAAAATCATCAAAATACCGAATATCGGGGCGTACCGTTATATTGGGGCTACACGAAGACGTGGACCTGCACAGATGATTTTCTGTCTTGCGCTGTAGTATCCATTACGAACTTCAAATGCCAAATTTGAAATAATTCCGGTGAATAATGTCGCTAAAATCATCAAAATACCGAATATCGGGAGGTACCGTTATATGGGGGCTATATGATAACTTGGACCTACATGGCCCATTTATTAACTTAACCTGCCTACTGGCAAAATATACATGTGTGCAAAATTTCAGCCTTCAATATCAATTTGTTCGAAAGATAGCGTGATTACAACAGACAGACAGACGGACATGGCTAAATCGTCTTAGAATTTTACGCTGATCAAGAATATATATACTTTGTTGGGTCTGGCATGAGTATTTCGAGGAGTTACAAACGGAATGACAAAATTAATATACCCTCCATAGTATGGTGGAGGGTATAAAAATTTCCAAATTCGTTGCAAATGGTGGAGGGTATTAAAAATTCGGCCCGGCCGAACTTACTGCTTTTTAACTTGTTATTTTTGATTATTATCTTAAATTACATTAATTTCCACGTGTTTCCCACTTTTTGTTTTTAATATAATGCAAACATTTTTTGTTTGGTCCCAATCATAATATAAGGTTTTATTAAGTTGAAATGTCAGAAAATGGTGATAAGAACATATAGAATCGTTGACAACTCGGTATAAGGCCCTGAATTGTTGCCAGATTGTAATTTTTTGTGTCCGATGTTTTGAGAGTGTATTGAACAAAATTCCATTCATTTTTATTCAAACGACTAATTTTAAAAAATGAATTTTTTTCTGTGCGGATGATTTTGGGAACAGAACAAAAATTACACAAGAAACCGAGCTTTGACTTTTCTATCCTTTTAATCGTTTCCAATTTTGAAAAGTTAAACAAAAGAAACATTATACTATTAATCGAGGGAAAGCATTAATAACTGCTTGCTCTAACCTATTGATATCCATTTTTTACATTAATGCAACTACAGCTTCCGCGTAAATTTATTATACCCTCCGCCATTTGGTTGCAAATGGTATATATAATTTGGTACGGCCAAAACGTGCCTCATCAAAATAACGGATTTAGACCCTAGATCTCTAGGTCGTACATCCGTCCGTCTGGCTGGTTCCCACGATAACTCTCGAAGGGAATATTCGATTTGATTCAGAAATGGGCAATATTGGTCCACCCCTTCTACAACAATTTTTGCTAACGCAAGATCTGTTTTGAAGATAATATATATATCTGCAACCACTTTTGTCCCCTCACTCAGAAAAGGTCACAATTTCCAATACTTATATCTGTCATAACTAGCGAAAAAAGTCATCGATTCTTTAAAACTTGCTTTATCTAAATATTTCTCTGAGCCAGAAATCTATATTCTATCTATATATATAAAAATCAATTGTTGTTCGTTGGTAATGGAATCAGTTGAAAACGGCTGGACCGATTTGCATAATTTTTTGTACAAACGTTCATCATACCCCGAGTTAGGTTTTTAAAGAAAAAAAATATTGACCGCGCCTACTTTTACGCCCACAATCTTGATTTATCTAAAATCTTTATATTCGCCAGATAATGAAGATATCGGTTTGAAAATTATTACACGAGATACTGTTGTTTTTCCCTCCAACCCTAGGGATTTATTTGGGGGCTAAGGAACTGACCACGCAAACTTCTAATCTATCTATATATATATCAAATAAAGTTGTGTTAATTGCTACGCTTTTAACTCAAGAACCGCTGATCTGATTTTAACGATTCACACAAAATCGGAATTGTCTCTTGGAAGAAATAGATAAAATCCCAAAAAATCGCGTAAAAATGTGAAATTTGAAAATTTTCATTTTGACTTTTGTGGTGTACAATAGTAATGTTTTATTTTGCATGATTTTTTCCATTTTGACTTACTAGTTTGGAATGTACAGTTGTTTTTTTTGTACAGTTTTTTTTTTAATTGAATTCTAATATGATGTGTAGTCTTTTTGGGTAGTATAAAGCGACGACAAATATGGAGTGGTGGACCTAAATAGATGATGTCAAAATAATTAAACGTGGTAAAACCGAAGTTAAAGGATAATTACTTTTTTCAAAATTGCTAAAAAATCTTAAAAAGAGCCTATAGCATTGCAAAACTCTAAAATCGGGAAAAAATAGAGAACATTTTTTAAATGGAATCAAATTTCAAAATAATAGTAAGGACCAAACTTCGTAAGGACCTTTAAACATTCGCTGTAAAATACCGAACAAGTTGAAGATTTTT